TCGAGGAATTGTTTCACTGTCGCTTTGGATCTCGTCAAACGCAAAATGTTAATTCGCCTGCGCGGCCCCATCGCAGCAGTGAAGCTTGCCTTGGCCCCGGAGATGGAAGCGCACAAGAGGGGGAGTGCATGTGTGCAGACAGACTTTTCAAAGTCATCATGCAATTGAAACCTCCTGGAGAGATCGCTCCGGATTACTTTGAAGAAGCAACTGGTGCGAACTGTCTCACCATTGATTTGAATATCACCTGGATTCTCCACCTCTGCCAACTCCAGTAAGTCACAAATACTAGGCGCAGCTGGCGCTGGCGCTGGCACCGCCAGGGCATCGGGCGCAATATCATCCTCCCCTGCCCCCGCCCAGAGAGGAGAGCAACAAGTGGCCCAAAGCTTCCTCGCTCTCCTTCTGCCGCTCCTCCTCTCCTGAGTCCGCCTGGGAAGCGAACCGCGCAGCCCGCGGGGAATGCCTGCGACCCGCCCCCGACTCCTCCACCCAGCCCCCCCCCCCCCCTATCCCCTCAGCGTCATCCCCTGCCCCTCCGCAGGGACATCGTTGAAATACTCCAAAGGTAAGCTGAATACTGTGCCCACTGACAAGCGAGCCTTGATAAGCTGGATCGAATGATGCTCAACATCTTGCAACTGAAGCGTTTGTCCTTTTTTTTCAGCGTCCTGGACCAATGTGCGTGCAGCAACTCGTCCGCGGAGAGGTCAGCGAATGTCTGCCTGGCAGGGGGGAGACACTACGCGGGGCGATGGGCGCGAGCATGGAGGGCGGCGGACGCGGGGGGCGGGGCGGAGGGGAATGTGACCAAATGGCAGACGCTCGGAGGCGAGGGGGCGGAGGCGAAAGGGTGGGCTGGACGGATAGGCTGTCGTTCAAACAGACTTCGCAATTTCTGATCAAGAGGCTCTGCTACAGAAGAAACGAATCGAACGGCAATGCAAAGAGCTTCGGGTGACAGCGTGGGAAAAAACAAAAGATAGCAATCACATCAATCACAGAGGTGATAAAAGCGAGGATCAAATAGGGGCACGTGCGAGCCTGCTGGATCAGTGGTATATGGCATCTCGAAGGGCTGCCTTCGGTTGGAGCTTCAGGAAGCCAGGTGGTTGCATGGCAAATTCCAGAAGCTTCCTGTCGCGATGCACTTTAGATCGCAACTGTTGGATCATGAACACAAAAACACGCCAATGCTGGATATCCTGCATGTGTTGAGGGAGTCGGAGAATAGCAGAGATCTGCGGTGGCTTGTGGTAGCGCCCCTTGCCGTGGATTTTGAAGATGCGAGCGCGCGCCTCCTCTGCCGGCGTCTCGTCACTGCAAGCCCACGCCAGAGATAAACATTCCCGCTTCAACGTGGGATCCGGATCCTCTCCACTGGCAAAGCTGCGAACGAGTGCCCCGAACGGGAACTCACCGTCCGTGCTCAGCACCCTGTATGTAACTCTGTGAAGATGGGCAGGGGTGGTATCTGTGAACTTATCCAAACACTGTTCCGCCACCTCTCGGCCCCTACTATCGAGAGGCCACGTGCCAATCATAAGCCAAGGCAGCGAGTCCCAGTAAGAAAGTTTATCGGGAAATTCTTCGCACCACCCACAAACCAACGAGTCCAACGCGTTAACAATCTCGGCGCCTGCCCGCAGGCCAAGTTGAGTATACATTCGATTAAGAGTGGTAGAACTGGCTGACCTTCGAACGCAAGCTACAAGTTCGCGTGCAGCGCCGCGGGCTAACTCCCATGCCCGTTTGCCTTCCCAAGGGCACTTTGCCGTTCCAATCAGTCGCCTCAATTGCCTTCGCAATGAACTGGGGGATCTCGAGCTCCGCCAAAGGTGCCAATGACGCGGGCAGGCGCGCATCCACATTGATGCGTGCCCGACTGAGCTTGCAAAAATATTGAATGCCTCTGTTAATGCTTCGAATTGAACACGATGTTGCGATTTGGCTGATGATATTACTGTGAAGTCTTTGCGCTCCCGTGATATTTTATGTGACTTTGCTAGGATCTTCTCTGCGTCGAAAGCATCAAAAAAAGTTGTCACGCACCTGGAAAGCCGACGCAACGTCTCCTCCATGTACCCCCACTTCCAATCAATGACTTTGTGCTTCCAGTTGTAGAAGTTGGATATGTTAGCCGTCGGGGGCAAGCAACGCTCCAAGAAGGCATCCCGGATGCGTTGATCACCGAGCGTCGAGAGGATGGCTGACAAGATAGGCGAGTACCAATCCCATTCTGGCAGTTTCCTCATCTGGGCTTCGAAAGCGTTCCACATGATGTGCTGTGGGCCAGTTATCTGAATCATGCACGGGAAAAGAAAATAATCTGCATGATGAGCTGGCATCGTGGGAAATGCTCCATCAGCGAACTGCTGCACGACACTTGTGATCTGATCGAGCTTCTCAAAGTTCGGGCAATCGGCGAGCATCCGTTCCCACCCTTGATCTGTGGTCATGGACCTGCAAGAACGTCTCCATTGCAGAAGGGCTTTGTCAGAGCCCGTCATCAGTCGCGCAGTGTGCAACAAAGCACGCAATTTGTGAAGGAAATCCCCCTCGCCGTAACCAAGGGTAGTTAAATGATATATACGTTCCAGAGTCGCTCTCGCCATCGAAGTGGCGCTCCCATCTCCAGCCAGGGCAACGTCCATCATTTCCACGCTGCACGTCACTAGGAAGTTGTGTCCAGCTTGAGGGCTCGAATCAGTAGTGAGTATGACGACTGGACTGTAAACGCAATTCCACATGACTCTATCCCACCACATCATGGCAACATCAATGCGTTCCCGATTTGTCCGTAAAGCACTCGTAGATGGCACCCTCCCACCCTGGTCTCGCACTTTACATTCCTGTCGTGCCCCATCCTCCTTCACCTCTCCTCGTCCTCCTCTTCTCCCCCCCCCCTCCGCCTCCTCCTCCTCCTTCTCCTCCTCCTCCCAACATGTTTTAACGTGAAGAACATGTTGCGCATTCTCAGGGCCCCTTTTTTTCAAGTTGCTCTCATCCTCCTACTCCTCCTCCTCCTCCCCCTCCTCCTCCTCCTCCTCCTCCCTCCCCCCTCCTCCCCCTCCTCCCCCCCCCTCCTCCTCCTCCTCCTCCTCCTCCTCCTCCTCCTCCTCATCATCATCATCATCATCCCCCCCCCCACCCCTCCTTCTCCTCCCCCAGCAGCAACAGCGGGCACAACGTAAACCTCCCGTTATGTTGTACCCTTGTGCCCCGTCCTCCTTGATTGGCCTACTACTGGCTGCGCTGGCAATGTCCGGTGACGCACCCTAGTGCACATGGGGGCTCTGGCCCAAATCCTGGCGAGCAAACGTCACGCCATCAATCCCCCCCTCACTCCCCCCCCCTGCCCACCCCCTCCCGCCGCATTAAGCCAGTCCGGAACTTTTCGAGGATTCCCTCCAGGAGGTCGGGTTCGCTCGCCAGCGCAAGCTTGCGCGCAAGCTCGCAAACACAATTCAAATCCGCTTGTGGCTTCAACATGGTGCTGAGTTGCATTGATAGTAAAATTGTGTTCGCGTCATGGGCGCAATAATCCTCCGCTGCGCGAGGCTCAGCACCATCCTCAGAGCAACTGCCCACATCCGACTCTTCATCTACCTCATCCAGCGGGGGTTCGCCAAGGTCAAGCATATGAGAGACCAGATTCCCAGGCAATGGGAGGCCTAGTTGACTCGCAATCACATCTGGGATGGGGAACCGCATGATGTCACACCGCATGTTCATCAGCACGCGAGGCGCAACGTGCGGCATATACAACATCTTCCACTGTTTGACTGCGGCGACCCCGAAGCGAAGCAACGTAGTTCCATCTCGAAGAGGAGTGTGTGCCAAGATTTCTGCGAATTCTTCATTGGGGAGATCAACGACGCCCCTTCTTGTCTGGGACGCGGGGCGGGGATGCGAACGGGGCTTGTGTACTCAAAAAACAGATCTAGTGATGCTTCCAACGGCGTGATATACTTAAGCATGTTCCTGGGAAGAGGGTGCAACGCCATGTCCTTCTGCATCCATTCTGACGGTTGCTCTGTCACGGCCCTGACTCCCACAATGTGAATAACGGCGGCCACGCTCTCCCCATCAGACAAAAGGCACCATGCACCGGTGCGGCGCGGTCGCTTTGCTTCATTGGCGGGCGGCTTGATGACGCGAATAGGAGGAGTGAGAAGGGACTGCATTGCCCATCGCGTCAAAACTTGCGCTGGCACTCAGCCGAAAAGGTCGGCGGCAAGGGGCGCGGCTACAAGGGGGAGATGGCGATGCATTGCGCGCAAGCAAGCAGACAAACACGAACCCAGAAGAACGACGAATCCCCCCCCCGCTGCGAAACGCCGGCGTGCTACGTGCACTGGCTGGACGGCTGCTGAGATTTAGCATGCTACTCCTCTTTCTGCATGCCCTCCTCCTCCTCCTCCACCCCCTCTCCCTCTCCTTCTCCTCCGCCCGTCAATCGGCGCGACCTACCCCTCCCCCCCGCCCCTCCCGGGGCCCCCAGCCGCCACTTCAACGCGGCGCAAGTGTCCAGGACCTCTGAAGACATAGAGATTGACCTAGGTTCGATAAGAGGCATCCAACGACGCAAAGGAAACACCCGTTTGAAAGTTCAAATTGGGGGCACACCGATCTCAGTTTCAGAACGGGACATTTTGCATCATTGCGCAAGTGATTCAGTTGTCAGCTCCAAAACATACATGTTTTTTTCAGGTTCGTTCGCACCGCGCGCTTCTTGGGAGTAGTACGAATGGCCAACCGTTCAAACAAGTTCGAAAATGACGTTGGAGTTCGCGCACCAGTTTTCACGCCCTCGGCGCGGTCCGTTTTGACGTGGCATCGGCGCGTGGGCGCACGTTCTACACGTCGCGCGTAAATCGCATACACGTTTGGGCCGCCGCATTTTGACCGCATGATGATGGCGCAATGTGGCGCGGGGTGTTTCCAATCTAGATATCCGCATTTGTTTTGCCTCCCCCCCCCCGACTAGCGCCATAAACCACGAGCTGGCGCCGTCGTGCCACGCCAAGTGCGGGGCGACGGCCAGCTGTGCGCCCTTCAGGATGTGGCGCTCGTACTCGCCCGGAGTCAACGGCGAGAAGAGCGGCTGGCATGGGATCGCGCACCCCTGGGGGCTCGAGAATACCTCCGGGACGAACTCGAAGCCCAGGCCCCCGAGCTTGTCGAGGACGGTGCCGTCGAACTCCCCGCGAACGGCAAGCCCCGCTGCCGGGCGCTTGCGCACCGCCGTCAACGTCGACGGCGCGGGCGCCCCCACGGCAGCCTCCACGGCAGCCGCGCGCACGGGGTCCGGGGCCACGGAGCTCCCGCGCAGGATGTTCAGCGTCTCGGAGGGCCTGGTGAGAGGGTCGTGCTGCTTGCCGAACGCTCTGCCGCTGAGCACCGAGCGCAAGGGCCCGTCCTCCAGAAGAGCTGCTGCCACCAGCGCCGCCGCCTCGCCCGGGCGGGGGCCCGCGGACGCAAGGGGGTCGCCCCGGCGGAACCCCTGGAGCGGCCGGCGGCCGCGCGGGCGCACGTTCGGCCCCTCGTCCAAGCCCAGCTCGAAGATCTCCCCGAAGAGCTCGTCCCTGGCGGTGCTGGCCGCCTTTCTGCGCAGGCGCAGCTCCTCGAAGAACGTCGCAGGGATCGCGTCGAGGTTGTCCTCGTTCTTGGCCAGCCTCATCACCGGCTGCTCGCGCAGGACCGCCCAGGTTCGGAACTCGTCGAAGGCTGACGAGTAGCGGACCTCAGTCGCCAGGCCTCAATCGCTGGGGGGCCCGTCCTCGACCGCGCGGGGGCTGGCCTGCTCCCCGCGGGACTGGCCCGCCGGCATCGCGGCGGCGGGGCGCGCCTCCCTGGCCGTCGGGGCCGCCCAGGCTGCGCCGCCACAAGCCGCCCTCTCCGTCGCCACCGCGCCCACTGGAGCGGGCTGCGCCTCGTTCAGGTCCTCGAGGGCCTTGGAGGTCACGCCGCCGCGGGCCGCCCTCTTCTTGGCCACTGCGACCTTCCGTGCAGGGCGAGGGCGCGCGGCGCCAGCAACCAGGCCCATCGCGCCGCCGCTCGGCAGGAACGCGAACACCCCAAGCACCGGAGGCGCGCTCCCAGCCGATGACAAGGGCGGCAGGGCAGCGAGGCAGACGTAGGACCCTTGGCGCTGCCCCAGCACGGGCGGCGGCCCCCAGGTGAGTCCAGCGCCAGGCGGGCCCGCGGCCTCGGCGAAGCTCATCGTAGCGAGCCCCCGAAGGCGCGGCACGGGCCGCACACCGCGATCGCGCGGCAGAGTCGGGGCGGGTACTGCCCAGCGAGCTTGGTAACCCAAACGCAGCGGGAATGACCAGCAGAAGTCGGCACGGTGACCTTGCCCTCCAGAGCGATGTGCGGTGCCGCGCAGTTACATCTAATCCCGATGGCGAGATCCAGGCCAGGAAGTGTCGAGGCTATGCGAGCTGGCTTCGATAAGGTGTCCCAAAGCGGCACATATCGAAGTCGATGAACGAGCACCCCAACTTGTTGAGCATAGTCTGCATAGGCCTCCACACCCATCACCGCGACGTGATCGGGCTTTCGACGGTGACGTATATTTTGTACTTGTCCGAGACGGCGAGGACGGCCCGAAGAACGCGAACCGATGCCAGAGCGCAACTTAGCCCTGCGCAGGCCGCTGGTGCCTCAGGAGACCCTGTAGAGCGAGCATGGGAGGCCCACGTGCATGGAGTTCCCAGGTGCACCCGCCAGACACGGCCCTGACGGATCCACTCGATGATAAGTCCCAAGATGCCAGGGCCGAGGATGTCGAAGTGCGAGCCGTTTTCCAGCTCGAAGGGCACGGCCACGTCGAGCCCGGCCTGAAGGGCGGCCCCAGACAGATGAGCGCAGCCTGCGAAAAACTCTAGAACGAAGCGACTGGCATGACGACCAGCCGACGGCCGCGCCGCCTCGGGCCCGGCCCCACCGCGGAGCTCCGCGGCAGCCAGGCCCCTCTCGGGCGTCGACGGCGCCACTGCAGCCCGGGCCGCCGAGACCAGTTCGCGCTGCAGAAGGTTCGAGACTGCATCAGCTGGTCGTTGTGCACGCTGGCGTGCTGGCCCGCGGAGTGAAGGTGTCCCCGGGCGCCAGCTTCCCGCGGTCGCCGAGCCTGGAGTCCTTGTCAGAGGGGTTCCTGTCGGTGTCGACGTACCTCCGTCGCCAGTCGACCCCGGCCGCCACCTGCCACACGGCGGCCTCCCGACAGCAGCTGTTGAGGGCGTAGTTGCAGGCACGCGCCCACGCTCCTGGGCGAGGAGCTCGCTCATGTTGTCGCCGAACGAGACCACCACCGCGTCCTGCCCGCCAGCCGAACCAGCAGCCTGCCGCAGCCCCAGCAGCGCCGCGCGCGCCTCCAGCAAGTGGATCGCCTCGCGTCGCCGCCAGCAGCCAGCCACGACCAGCGACCAACGCCCTGCGTGGGTAAGCCGACCCGGCAGCGGCGGCGCCGTGCCCTCCGCGCGCTCGAATTGCCGGTGGGGTGCCCCCAGTCGAGAGGGCGCTGCCACCGCCGCGCTGGGGACGCGGGTGTCCTCCCGCACGGCCCCCGCCATCACGGTCGCCCAACCCTGACCGGTGTCCGGGCCGATGGCCGCTGCAGCCGGCACGTCGCGGGACTCGCGGTCGACGTACTCCAACACCTCGCGGAAGCGCCACCGCTCCTTCCACTGGGCCACGTCGAAGACCTCGGCCAACCCAGCTGTGGTCTCGTGGAGCGCGCGCCCGAGCATGGAGGCATCCGAACACCAGACGGTACGGCACAGTGGTCGCCTCAGGTCAGCGTCCGCAAAAGGCAGCATGGGCCGCGCGACCCACAGCTCGTCCCAGACATCGGCCGGGAGGATGGCGACCTTACCCAGCTGCTCGCGCGAGAAAGCGAACACCCTCTGCAGGATGGAGAGCAGCGGCGGCCGCAGCCCGAAGCGGTGGCAGAGGCGCCCGCAGAGCACCCGCATGGCGTCGCCCGAGATGCGCCCCAGAGTCAGGACGCGGCCGAGTGCCGACCATAGACGCCAGCAACGCTTCTGCGCGTGGCGCAGACGGCGACGCGGCCCGTCCAACACGAGGCCCGGGAACTCGAAAACTGGCTCGCCGTCGACGTGGCCCCGAAGAGCGAACCCTCGTCGACGCAATGCGCCCAACACGAGGTCGAAGACTCGCCGGCCCTCGTCACGTCCCACCGCCAGGGCGCCAGGGCTGGCACGCGCGGCCCGAAGCACGCAGGCCGCTGACGATCGCCGACCAGCACATCGGGCAGCCCTGTCTCCCGCAGCGCCTCGCGCATGCACTCCGAGATAGCCTCGTTACAGAAGTAGAGCGCCCACGACCAGCCCATGGCCATCCCGAGGAAGCACGCCTCGAGGACTTCGGTCGATTGGACGGGGTCGGCGGCCTGCAAGTCGTCGTCGAACACGTCGTCGAGCGCGATCCCAAACTCGTCGGCGATGCTGGAAGCCGAGATGCGGTCGGTCAGGTCGATCGAGAACCCGACCAGCTCATCGTCGCCCGGCGAGTCGATCTTCGCCTGCGCCACGCGCCCGAGCCTCTCCTGGACAATGCGGAAGGACTCGTCGCCGGCCGAGAGCCTCGCGAAGGCCCCCGGCACCGCCAGCTGGCTGAGCGGCGGGGTGCAGCACGTGCGGTTGGCCCACCTCGCGTCGCTCAGCCGAAGCATGGAGTCCTTCTTCTTGACGAAGAAGCACCCAACTCGGCACCGAACACGTCGCCGCCAGGTAAGCAGCCCCGCAGCAGACAACGCCCGCAAGAACTCCAGCTTCTTCGCCCGGCTGTCTCTGAGGATCGGGCCCCAGTACGGCTGCCCGCGGAGCGCCCCCGAGTTCACGTCAGCGCGGAGCTCGGCGTCCGACTTCAGGATGTGCACATGCGGGGCGTCGATCAGCTTCGCGGCCGATGGCGACGCGACGGACGCCGCGCCCTTTGGGGCCAGGTCACCTTTCGACACCCTCAACTTGTCGATGTCGCAGGACCCCAGCGCGGCGCCAGCCGCCGCGGCGTAGAGGCCGTCGGAGTGGAGCAAGTCCGCGAGAGCGTCCTTGCCCGAGGGTGCACTCCAGTCGGCCAGCAGCGGACTGGAGGAAACGCGCAGCCGCTCGACCGCCCGGCGTTGCCAGGGAGAGAGGCGCGCGAAAGCGAGACTACTCGCGCGATGCCGGTGGAGGGGTGGCAACCGCGGACGCGCCTCCCGCAGGGCAGACAGCGCCACGGCAGCGTCCGAGACGAAGAGGTCCGGGCACTGAGCGACGTCGTTGACCAGGGGGACCCGCCGGCGTGCCGACGACTGGCCCGACCCCTTGGAGATCAAAGGGAAGGGCAGGGATGCCTCGAACAAGTCCCGGAGAAGCTGAGGCACCACTTCCCTTGGGCCGCAGCCGGCGCTCAGCCGCCGCCCCCGCCCCCGGAGGAGGCGCCCATGTTCTTGTCCTCGTCGTTGTTCCTCGGGCACTCCTAGTCCCGGGCGTATACCACCAGCTCCTCGCGCGGCAACCTGTTCTGCTTGAGGGCGCGCCTCGCATGCTCCGCGGGCGTCGCCATGTGCGCCGTGAACTCCCGCATCGCCAGGCCGCCCCCCTCGCGCAGCGCGTGCTCCGTCATCTTGGCCAGTCCTTGGACGAACGGCGCCTTCGGGATCACCCGCTCCGTGCGCTCGATTTGCAGCCCGCGCCGCGCGAACAGCTCGAGGCTCGCCAGATTCCTGGCATCGAGGCAGTCGCACACCCAGGCCAGCGCCAGCACGTGGCAGTGGACACGGTGGTCCAACGCGAGGCTGCCCTCCGCTTGAACACCCGCCTGGCGCACCTAGTGCGCGTGGTAGGTGAACAGCGCGAGCCCGAGCGCCGCTACCCCGCGGACGAGCTCGGTCACCCCCCGCGGCCTCCAATGGGGCCAGCCGAAGATCTTCGCCAAGTCCGTCGCCCGGAAGTGGTCGGCCGCCTGCGAGCGGAACGAGCCCCGACACGAAGTCGTTGCCGCACGCGGGGGTGTGTCGGCGATCCCGCCCAGTTCCACTCGGCTTGTCGCGCTCGTAGATGGTGTACTTGGGACTGGGTACCAGCTCCGCGAACCACCACCGCCGAGCCTCGCCCCAGCTGACGAGGGCCACGGCGCTGTTCACGACGCCAGCGATCGCCACCTCGTCCGACGGCACCTCCAGCCCGAACCTGAGCGCGCTGGTCTCCGACCCGCCAGCACACCCCGCTGCCAGCCACGGGCGCCCCTGCGACCTCCTACGCGCCCATGATGACGGCCAGCCGCGTGCCCGCAGCGTGGTGCCCCTGCAGCTCGATGCCGCGGCCCCCCGCGACCCGCGCCGGCACCGCCGCGCCTCGCCCCAAGGGGGGCAGCCCGAACCCGCTGGGGTCCACGATCTCGAGCCCGCCATCGGGGTCGAGGGCGACCCTGCACGACTCCCTGATGCGCCGCAACGGGAGCCTGTGCTGCCACGTTTTGTGTAGCCCTCGATATCCGCCAGCACCTGCGGCTCGCCGACGTTCAGCCCCCAGGCAGCACGACGATCCCCAGCGCCGCCGCCGCCAGCCGCCACCACTCCGAGGCGGCCTGCTGGCCGAGGAGCTGCCGCAGCTCCTCGTCGTCCGCGCCCACCGGGCACGTGCACTCGGCGGCGTCGGGCTCCCCGTCCCACGCCGCGTGCGAGCCCTCCACGGACGCGACGCACGCCGCGTGCCAGTCCCGAACGCGCAGTAACCGCCCCAGCCGAGCGTCGCCGCAAGGACCGAGGTCAGGGGCCCCCAACCTGGGTCCATCAGGCGCCGCGCGAGGCCCGGGAGCTAGAGCCAATGCGGCTACAGACCCAACCCCTCCCGCAGAGGAAAGACACTCGTCGACAGCACGTATATATATATATATATATATATATATATAATATATATATATATACTCAAGGGGCCCAAGGACACACACATGAATGCACACAAGTCCCAGGACTTCCCCCCTACTCTCCCATGCCTTCCGGGCTTTTTCGCCTTTCCCCCCCCCCACTTCCCATATTTTTGGGGCGCCTGCCGAGAGAGAGCGGGCGCCTGCCGAAAAAGAGCGGGCGGGCACCGCGGTGGGAGGGCCGCGCGCCCGCCGGGCGGGGGAGCAGGAACTGCGGGGGGGGGGGGGGGGGCACCTCCGAGGGCACCCTCCTCCTCTCCTCCTCCTCCTCCTCTTACTCTCCTCCTCCTCCTCCTCCTCCTCCCTCCTCCTCCTCCTCCTCCTCCTCCCTCTCCTCCTCCTCCTCCTCCCTCCTCCTCCTCCCCTCCTCCTTTTCCCTCCCTCCTCCCCTCCTCTCCTCCTCCTCCTCCTCCTCCTCC